GCCGATAGGGCGACGGAGGTAGTATCCCTAGCACCGGGTATATTAGAGGCGGAAATAAAGGAGTAGAGGAGTAGGACTTACTTAGGTATAAGGCCCTATCGCTTAAGGGCGCGGAGGTTATAGTAAGTAGCGGCGGCGGCGGTAAGGCGCTTCTTAGCAGCCCCCTACGCCTACTTATATAAGCCGGCCTTCTAAGCCAACGCCGTAGCGAGTAAGATAGGAGGCGCCGCCTTATAAGCGCGGCCGGCTCGCGCGTACTAATAGTAGCTGCCGCCGCGGCGGCGCCTAGCTTAGTTAGAGTAGTCGAGCTCCTATAACGTATAACGTATATAGGGGGCTAAGTAGGCGGCGCCGGCCTATACTTAGCGCTTATACTATAGGAGGTTAGCGGATAACGTCTATTACGCTTGCCTAACTATAGACTTATAAGGGTAGCGGAGACGGAGGTAAGGGCCGAGGGGCCGGGCGTTATAGGTAGCGGCGGGGACAGCGTCGTTACCCTAAGGGGCAACGTAAGAGCGAATAGCGTAGTAGAGGTAGCGGCGGCGTCGGTAGGAGCGGTAGTAGCGGCGCGGGTAAGAGCAGCGGTAGCGGCGGAGTCGTTATCGGCCGCGGCTAGCACGGCGTCGACGAACGACTCTATACGCTCTAAGAAGGAGGAGGTAAGAGAGGGAGAGGCGGATATATCTATCGCGGAAGTTAGTATAACGGAATACGGCCTCCCGCTTTATAGGGCGCGGAACTTACTAGTTAAAGTTATTATTATTATTAGGGCTATTATTACTACTACCGCTACTACTATAAGTATATATTAATAAAGCGGCCTATATAGCTAAGAACGGACTAACGCCTTAGGTAAAGCGGAACTTACTTATTAATACTATTATTATAGTTAAAAAAGGGAGAGAAGGAAGGGAAGGGGGAAGGGGGGGATACCGCCTTATATACCCCTTAGTAGAGGAGGCTACCTAAGGTAAAGGGAACGGGCAACCTAAGGCTTACGTAGGTCTAGACTAGCCGCCGGCTACCTAGGGGCGTATATAATAGGTTACGCCCTTATTTAAACGGCTAGCTAGCCGACGAGTATAGAGCTAGGTCCTAGCTACTTAGGCTAATAGGCGCGGGGATAATAGGGCTAGTAGGGCCGGCCCTATTAACGGGAAAGGGTAGGGAAGAGCCCGCGGTATAGGCCTAATTATATAGGAGCCGATAATAAGGCAGCGCTACGCCGCGCTTAAGGGAGGGCATTATATAAGAGTCTTTAACTATTATAGGTAATAGGCTTAGGCCGCGGCCTAAGCCGCGTAGTTACGTATAGAGGGCCGGATCCTATAAGTATAAGGGCGGGCTAGCCGCGTATAAAAGAGCTCTATATAGCTTATTAATATTATCCTATAGACGGCACCTATATATACGCCTCTACCTACTCTATAATACTAGGAGACCGTAAAAGAGATATCTGGTCTAGTAGAAATAGCTAAAAAAAGTAAGGAGCCTACCTTCTATTAATATTAATATTTCTCTTACTCCTTAGCTTAAAAGGATAGATTAGGTAAAAGCTCTTTATTTAATATAAGTATAGAGGGAAGCTTCTTATTAAGGGAATTAAGGAGGAATTTATAAGCGACCTTATCGATATAGGCGTCTTAGGTAAGCTAGATAGTCTATTAAGACCTATTCTAAAAGAGTTATATCCCTAGGAACTACTTTAGCTCCCCTTACCTAGTTATCTTATACCTTTATTATAGGCCTTATATAGCCTCCCTAGTAGTAGCCTCTTCCTCTTTTAGGTAGGCCTAGATAATATCGTCGACGTAAAAAAAGACTGTAATTCTACCCTTTTATATTATATACGGTTCCTAAGGGACTTTCTTAAAGCCTAGGACTTTAAGGGAACCTATTAAATGCTATTGCTAAAGAAGGGGTAATCTTCGTAGTCTATAAAGAGCTTTCCTTAGCTATAGAACCTTTCCTAGCTATTAGAAGCCTAGTAGAAGGTATATATAGATAACTTCTTCTTCTTCCTTAAGTAGGCAGTTAATAAAGGCGTTAACTATATCTATCTAATCGAGCTCGAGGTCGAATTCTACTACTATAGGTATAAGGGTCTAAAAAGATATCCCTATTAAGGTAGTTGCCTTAGTAGGAAGATCCCCTTTTTCCTACTAGTTCCTATAGATAACTAGCTAGGCCTTATACTTTTAAAGGAAGCTATATTTATTAGTCTTATAGATAAAGACCTATTTATAGCTAAGGACCTATTTTCCTTTTATTTTTTCCTTAAGGACCTCTTCGAAAGACCCTATCTCTTTATATAAAGCTAGGTAGTCTTTCTAGGCCTAGAAAAACTAGTCTTTAAAAGGATGTCTTTTTAGCTACTTTTAGTTTACTAGTAGGTCCGGGAGGTCTCTTTTATATACCTTCCTTACTAATAGCTATAGCTTAAAAAGCCGGCCTACTATAAACGCTTTATAGGAACCGTTTTCTATTAGCGTTAGGTAGAAGTCGGAAAAACGATCGAAATAAGGGAGAGGTTAGTCTTCTTTAGTATCTATATCGGGCCCTATACCTTCCTTTACTTCTCGAAGTAGGGATAAAAAGGCAGCTAGGTAATCCTTTAAGAGAGGTGCTTTTCCTACCCCCTTAGGGGTCGAGACGGGAAGACTAACTAAAAAAGCTACTTTTAGATCTTCTTCTTATATAGGAGGAGGCATAGGTAGGTAGGCGTATTCTAGCTCTACCGCTTTCTTATAGTCTCCTTCTTCGTCTAGATTATCTAATCTAGTAGCTTCCTCTTTTTTAAAGTCGGCGTTATCCTCGACTACTGTCACGACCCTGCGCGCCAGCGTAGAGACACCAGCGCAGAACCTCACCAGTGTCACGTGCCCAAGCAGCATCACGTGCCCACGTGCGACCTCGTGCTTACCTGAGCGCTGCTGAGGTAACCTCGTGCATATGCACATAAGGGCCAGCTCGGTCGTGTAGTCTAGTCTTTCTTTCTTGCTCCTTAGCTTTGAGTCTTCGTTCATAGTGCCAATACATCTTTATAGCCGTCAAGGCTCGTATGTGCCTGGCCGTAACAACTACTTCGACGTTAGTTTCTTTTTTTATTTCCTTATCTAGGATCTCTTTTTTAGACTATTAGGAAGGGGGGATTTAAATCTTTTAAATTAGCTAACGTTAAGAGAGTAAGATAGGCTATTAATCCCTCTTTCTATCGAAGAAGCTAGATTCGTTAAAAATTATATCCTTAGTCGAAATAACCTTCCTTAAAAGAGGAATCTAGATCTAGAAGATATTCGTAGAATTATAACTAATAAGGTAACTAATAAAGGCTCTAGGATTAAGCTTTCTTTTCTTCTTCCTTTTTAGCTATATATCGGTAGTTATAGCGTATACCTTATAGCTATAGGTATAAAGGTAGGCTAGCGAGGCCCTCTTTTTCGTAAAGAGCTTAAGGGGGGATTTCTAGTTTATTCCTTAGGTCTTAAAAAGGGTCTCTAGGTCCCTATAGTCCCTTAGTCCCCTAGGGTCCCTTAGGGTCCGGTTCCGAAGGTAATAGGCGGTCTTAACGACTTCCCTTTAAAGGTTATATAGAAGCCTTATAGTAAGTCTTATCGTATAGGCCCTTTCTATTATAGCACCCCCTAATCTTTCTACCCCTCCGTTCTAGGCCTAGGTATTCGGTGCTAATAAGAGGGGTAAAATGCCCCTTTTTTAAAGCTAATTTAAGATATCCTTTATAAATAGCTCTCTATTAGACCGTATCTTCTTTACCTCGTAGCTAAAGTAGGATTTTATCCAGTTAATAAAGTCCCGGAGGGTAGACTAGTTATACTTACTTAGGTAGGTCCGTAAGAAATAAGGGAAAACTATCCCTAAAAAAGCATCTATAAAAAACATTACTCTAATAAAGCTTTCCTAGTTCTTAGAGACGTCGGTTTAGTCGACCTAAATTTCTTTATACGGCTAGTCCGGCTATAAAGGCGTTCGTCTAGAAATTCGTCTCCTAGTCTTTCCTTAACCATAGTATTTATATTCGACGGTCTTTAGTCCCCTTATTTATACGCCCTATTATTAGCCTAGCTTATATAAAGCTAGGGGGCCTAGGTAACTAAGTCGTACGTACTAAAGAATGCCGTCTCCTTAGGCTGCTAGAAGAGGGTCCTTTATAGTAAACCTATTCCTCCTAGTAGGGAAAGCTAACTTCTTAAGAGGTTCCTTCCTAAGGATAGGTCGGAATTCGAGAATAAATTAACCGAATTTTTCCTCGATAAGCCCGATAGTCTAATTCTTTTAGACTAGCCTCGTTAGCTTAGACGTTATATCTTAGAAGATCCCTTCCTTTCGAAGAAAGCGGAAGGAAATTAAGCTCGTTAAAAATCGAGGGCAAAAAGCTACCCTTTTTCTTCGAAGAATTTATATAGATCTATTAAGTAATTTTATCGTAAAATTCACCTTTCTATATCCTTCTATCTATATAGTTAATTCCCCGGCAATAAGATATTCCCTTCGTGCCTTCTTAAAGGACCGGAATTATAAGAGTATATTATAGATATCGAGGGAAGTACTAGAGTTAAGGATAGCTGATTTTCGTAGGGGATAATCGGAGGGTCCTAACGGTTAGTCTTAGCTTTATTAATCTATAGGGAAGACGAAGGCCGGATTTACTATACTAACTATTTTTCCTTAAATTTACGGCTCGAATAGGGGCAGCGGCGTTATTAGTTACTATTTCTTAGTAACCTAAATCTCGTCTATCTTCTTTTATAACGAGGGGTCCTCCTTAAGAGACTATTATACTATTTCTTATAGCCTCTTTAAAGGGTTAACTCTTTTAGGTCGGTTTTATCGCACGGAGGATGAGCAAGTGGGCATAAAGATCAGGGACTGGAAGACTCTTGATTCTGCTATCTAAGGTGGGAAGAGGCGAGATCTTTATAGACTGCCTGAATATGAGAATGGAAGGGAATGGTAGTGAATGGAAGCATCTGATCGGATCATCTGGAAGCCACTGATGCGTTGATGATGCCTCCTAGAAGTTTCTGTGGGAAATGTGCAAACGGACTGTGCGAATAGGGGGTCAGACTGTTGGAGGCTGATATCCTATGTGTGACATACCCCCCCAGGTTGTGCTGGCTAGTGGGCAGTGCAAACTGAAGAAAGAAACTAGATCCCTAGCAACGTAGAGTCTGATACCAAGGAACCATTGTAATTCCCCTTGGTCTGTCATCGCGTACTTCCTCTTGAGGGCTGCAACCATCTCATCAGCTGCGTCCTCGTTTTCCTTGCGATAGAGGAAAACAATATCGTCAACGAAGAAGAAAACAGTGAGCCAGTCGTTCTGGAAGATGCAGGGTTCGTCGGGACACTGTGTAAGACCAAGCTCTCTGAATGCAGCAGTGAGTTCCTTCTGCCAAAGAAGAGGGGACCGTCGGAGGCCATAGAGGGCTCGCATGAGGCGAAGAGCCCATCCCTGTCTGTAGTATCCGTCTGGGAAGGCTACATAGACCTCCTCCTCGTCTTCTAAGAGGCGTTTGTGAAGGCATTAACTGCGTCGAGCTGTCGGGTCTCAAGGTCGAATTTGGCGGTGATGGCCATGAGAATCCGGAAAGAACGTCCTGCAGGGTTGCTGCATAGGTGTCCTTGTCACCTAGCTGTTGAAGATCTCCTCGAACACAAAGACGGGCTTTGAACTTTGTAAGAAAGCCATGCTTGTCGAACTTATACTTAAAGACCCAGGTAAGTGGCAAAAGCTTGCCCGTGACCTGGTCTCTGAGGACCGCTCTGAAGGTTCCTCTCTGTTGGAGTGCTTTCCACTCGGCGTGGGCTCCTTCTCTGAACTGAGGACCAAATCTGTGGGTGCGAAGTTCCTTATACGTCGTAGGTTCGGGAGGAAGGTGTCGTCTGTGAAGTTTTCTTCTCTGCCGAGAAAGAAAGAGCTGTGGAATTGACCCTTAGTGTTGGTCGAAAAAGCACTGAGCTTGCGAGGCTTTGGAGTGCGGGCTGAGCGCCGTGGCTGAGAGTCACTCGGACCGGGGTCCGGTGTCGGATATGGGTGCTGAATGTCATGAAACTCATCCTGATCATCCGAGTCCTCATGATCAGATGGTTCGGGTTGTACCACAATCGTGGTGGCGTCTCCTTGGTCTGAGGTTGAAGGAGATTGCTCAACGGGGTCAGGTTCAGGTTCATCGATTTGAGTGGGGATTTCCTCGTAATCCGACTCGTCCTCGATGTGGGCTGGAAGCTGTACTTCCACGCGCTGTGGGATAGGTTCTGGTGGCTGATCATTTCCGTCATAGAAGATGCTTTCATTGAAGGTCACATCTCGGACCCTTCGGACTTCTGATGTGGACGGAATCCAGATCCTGAAAATGTTCGTGGAATCATATCCAACGAGATAACCGATTTCTGTGTGAGGTCGGTCTTTAGGTCCTTCTTCTGTCTGTTCTGAAGGGCCTGGGGTGTCAAGGGATAGGCTCTGCAGCCGTATGCCTTGAGAAACGTGATGTCAGGCTGGTCTTGCTGGTAGCCTATGTCTCTGTTGTTGTCTCGCAGCCACTGATGAAGCAGCTGGAAAGGCGTTCGGAAGCTGTGGTTCTGCATGGGCGATCTGTTGTGCAAAAACACTGCTGCTTTCCAAGTCTCTGGCCAAAGATCAGATGGTAAATTGGCATCAATTCCCATTGTTCTGGCCTGGGCAGATATTACCCCCCCAGATCGCTCTGCAGAGCCGTTTTGAGCGGGAGTGTAAGGGGCAGAAGGTTCATCTTGAATCCCCTTTTCCTCGATCCAGCTCTCATACGCACTCTGAAGAGAACGATCGTTATCACGGTGGATAATGCAAATATTGAGATTCCATTGGCGTTGAATCATTGCCTCATGGTTTCTCAAAGCAGTCATAACGGACCCTTGTGTCGCGTCATTCAGAAGGTAGATGAAGATCATGCTTGTAAATTCATCTTTGATAAGAAGAACAGCTTCCTTGCCGTTGAATGAGGTGTTCATACTGAAGATATCAACGTAGATTCTCCAGAATGGTCTGGGGCTCGGTTTTGAGGGTTCGGCGAGAGACGACCTTCTTTCCCTTCCCAAGGAACACGCGGTGCAATCGATGGTAACTGGGCCTTTGATCTTCGAACCCGTCGTGTTCTCAACAAGACGCTCTAGGGCTTGAGCGTTCAAGTGGCCTAGGCGCTTATGCCAAAGCGTAGCATCTGCTGTTTTCACTGCGCGAGGTGCAGATGAAGATGTGAAGTTGGAGGCGTGAGAGTCCTCCTTAATCGGGTTGAACTCGATGACCGGTTGACGAAAGCGGCGTTTCGTATGAAATATAATCTGATCGTCTTTAGAGACGCGTCCAGATAGTGGATTCCAGTTGTATCCCTTCGCAAGAAAGCGGTCGAGGATGCGATGTTGGTGTGGAATTTTGGCACGAAGGCAACTTCGTTGAGCTGAAAAAGTCCTCCTTCTTCAAGCTTCATACGGACTGTGCCGTAGCCAAGGATCTGAAGTTGACTATCGCCTGCAAAGAGCTCTTTTGGCTCTGCAAGGGCGGTGTAGTCAAGAAAACAGGATCGGTTGTTGCAAATGTGTGTGTCTGATCCGGAATCAAGGATAAAGGAGTCATACAGCGGGTAGACTGCCTTTCCCGTCGAGAAACTGGTTGATGGAGGTGTTGAGGAGGCGGTGTGTTGTCAGGAGCTGGTAGAAGACCGGCAAACGCTGTGCCTTTAACGGAGGAGTCGGACGATTTCTCCATTTCCTTCTTCTTGAAGTCTTGTGCTTTCTCCGTCATCTTCTTTGCCCATGGATTGGAGTCGAGGATTTCCTTGATCTTCTTCTCAACCTTCTGATCAGGAGTCCAGCCATCAGGCCGAGCTGATTTGATGAGATAGAAGCAATCTACGAAGCGGTGATATTCTCCGCAGACACACATAGGAACACCATCAGCGTTCTTGCTTGAAGACCACTTAGGCTTGTCCTCTTTCCTCTCCGATTTCTCTCCTTGCCTTGGAAGGCAGCTCGAATGATCCTTTGCTGTTGTTGGCGGCCTTGATTCGGTGAGCTCGTTCAAAGATCTCACTGATCTTAATGCCGTCCGGGAAGTCCGTCTTCCAATCAGGCTTGCCGAATACGGCCTCGTCTTCCATTTTGTTGACCCAATAGTCTGTGAATGGGGCGTTGATGGACGAAACAGCCTGTAGGAAATCTTGGGTAGGGCGAAGGTCCTGGACATCAGGAAGCCCTAATTGCTTTGCCTCAGTGAGGACTTTCTGCCATTGGGTGACCCAAGCTTCGATCTTGGTCCTGTTTGGCGACTGAAGGGTGGAACGATAACGCTGAACAACTTCCTCTCGAGTGCCCAGTCGGTTGGGGCCACACGAGCCTGAAGCAAGGCAAGTTGCTTTGCAACGTCGTGTTCCTCGGCAATGGTGCTGTAGTAGTTGCCGATGGTCTTGACGATGTGTTGTTGAAGGCTGGCGAGTGCCTTCACTTGATCCCTATACCCTTGAAGCTTCGAGCGGTATTGGGTGTGGAGGAATTCGAGACGGCGAAATTCCTCCGAGGTCAGATCCACGAGATCAGATGCTTCGTGGTTGATTTGTCGGAATGTTGGTTCAACTGGCTGCTGAAGAACCGGCTTACCCTCCTTGACGGCAGGGTCCAGAAAGTCCCAAAGACTGTGGGACGTGGCGAATTTCTTGATGATAGAAATCCATTGTTTCCAGTCGCAAGGGCCGTTGAGCACGGTGCCCTTGGAAGAGCCATCAAGATCTAGAGCTGAGCTCATTGTGGAAGCTATTCTGCGCAGCGGAGTGAACAAGAATAAGATACCCAGTCAGTGGCAGACCGGGCTCATAACTATCGCACGGAGGATGAGCAAGTGGGCATAAAGATCAGGGACTGGAAGACTCTTGATTCTGCTATCTAAGGTGGGAAAGAGGCGAGATCTTTATAGACTGCCTGAATATGAGAATGGAAGGAATGGTAGTGAATGGAAGCATCTGATCGGATCATCTGGAAGCCACTGATGCGTTGATGATGCCTCCTAGAAGTTTCTGTGGGGAAATGTGAAACGGACTGTGCGAATAGGGGTCAGACTGTTGGAGGCTGATATCCTATGTGTGACAGTTTTCCTCAAAGACCTACTAGTAGTCTTCTAGCCGATAGGGCTTCTTATATACTTAGTAGGTAGGTCGATTCCTCCTTATACGTTGTCTCTTCGAGGAATCCTTATTCTTTTCTAGAAGGTCTACTTAAAAACCCCCCCTTTTTACCCCTTATTACTAATTTTAACGAGGTTCGATTTCGACTAGTTCCCTGATTTTTCGACTAACGGACTAAAAGGTCTATTAGGGGACTAGTCGGGCCGGTCTAACTAACGGGACCGGGGCCGGGCCCGGAGTAAGAGGCGGAGCCGGGGCCGGGCCTAGGGCAGCCGTTAAAGACGGTGTTAATGCTCTCGAGGGAGGAGGAGCCGAAAGAGCAACAGCCGTAGCAGCAGCAGCGGGAGCCGCAGTAATAAGGGCTATAGCAGCTATAGGGGCAGTAGATCGAGCCGTCTAGGTCGAGTGCTAGCTACGAAGGAATAAGACTGCTTACTATTTATAAGGAACGGTGTTCCTACTATAAATAAAGCAGCTATAATATACTCTCCCGATTATATAAGCCAATACATAGTATATTAATTATAGACAAAATCTCATCCTATAGAGCAAGAATCGCTCGTCATTTTGCATGTCATTATGCATTAAACGGGTTGCCGGTTATCGTACAATCGGGAATCGAAGGAACAGAGCTAGCTTAGAATGCTAGCTAAGACCTCTTAAGAACACCGGCACGACCAACCTCCTCTAAACACGAATATCAGTGGAACCAAGACACTTCCAGATTCACTCGAGATATCACGGAATTCCCCAGTCTTAGGGCTATACGGCAGCCTAAATCTGGTCCCGAAAGGTTCTTCCGTTCAGCTACAATTGTCTATATAAGACAGCATGTCCGCTAGTAGATAGATAGAGAATCATCAACTTAAACACCTCTTCTATACACTAATACACTACCAATAAATTCCGTTGAAAATCCTACCTTATACTCCTTCTTCCCCTCTATCACGTAGACTTACGTGATTCCTTAATTTCCCAAAATTCCGCTTTTGCTCATATACCTTTAGAGGTTATAAGCCCGGCTTACTCCTTTTAAGCCGGGAAATTAACTACTTATACCTTTGAAATTCCTCGTCGAAATATTCAATTAAAATTCCTTTCGAAATTCCCCCTAACTTCTTTTACCTTCCTACGCTCTTAAACTCCCGTCTAGACTTCTCGATCCCTACGAACGAAATAATACCGAATTTATATAAAATAGGTAGATAGAAAGAATATAAATTCTCTAGACTTAAGGAAATTTAAATTATACCTTATAGACTACGAGGATAGAAGCTATCCTTAT